ATCGAACTTACATCAAGCCAGTCAAGATCTAAAACTGGTCCTGTAACATTTTGTTGAGCTTTTGCTTCACACTGACCGCTTTCACTGATCTGCCATACACGAATCACTGAATCCCAACTACCCGAAACAAGCAAAACTGGCTGGCCAGCAATCTGCGGATTGAATTTCAGCGCTTCAACTGTGTCATCGGGTGGTGATGGTACCTAAAAACAAATACATCATCTAAAGGACTTGCCTTCTAAAAACTTAAAATCTTAAATCCTTCTATTAAATTTACGTAGACAATACTTCACACTTCATATTAATTACAGAGTAAAGTAAATAATAGTAAATAAGCTACATTACCTAAAATTCTTTTATCGTCATCTTAAAAGTCCTGCTACACACCTAAAAAAAATATATGTAGAAAATTATTCTAAATCGAAAAACCAAGAACACATAGAAATCTGGTATTAAGAAAAGCTGTTAAAATTAATCCGACGTTGAGAACATCAAATCATTCCTTCCTAAACTGCTTAAGCATCCATGAGAAATGAGATCAATGAAAAGTTTGTCCGAAAATACAGAATGGTACAACCTACTTCAATATCGTTCAGTGGATTCTGACTTGTATTGGCTGCGCCGGATGAAAATATGCTGTTCGGTCGTGAGCCAAACGCATTAGTAGTACCAAACATTAAGACAAACCAAAACCAGCAAGAACCTTCGAAACAGTCTTCTCTTCCTACAAAATTGTAGTATTATTAGAATAAAAAAACGAGATTCCATATGCTGTGATAAAAATTTATCCAACTTCACGTTTTTCAAATCAGCCAAACGAAATAGGAAGGCAGATGGTGCGTAGCCACGATGTGAACACTTCAACAGTTTTTGGAGACAACTACATTTAAAGAATACTTTTACCCAAATGTATCAGCAAACACGGAAATAACTGAAAATCTTAAATGAGCATCTATCTGACAGTGTTCGATTATAAATTAAGAAAACACTACAGTCGTTGCGCAAAAATTTGGAATCTACACATCTAATGGAGATCCATCTATTACTACTGAAACAATTAAAAAGGCATTGCATATAAGTAGGTGAATAATAGATGTTGAGCAGAGAAAGAAAATGGTATGGAATGATTCAATTAAATTTAAAACATAACATCACTTAAAGATACAACAATAACGCACATTATAAATGGAAAGGTGGAAAAATAAAAAGGAGAGGCACATGAAAAAAAAAATTCAAAACACTGTTTTTGTTACAGAGCGCAAAATCATAGTTACTAAAAGAAAAAAGTGATTTCAGTGTTACATGTGCCACAGTAAGAAATGATCACAATCCAACAAAATTTTTATGTGCTGAGCATTCAGAATCAAGAATTTCCGTCAGCCTGTGTTCGCGTTATGTAAAGTTGATGTCTTTACATTTCCTAAACAAATAAAAGAATATAATCGTGCTATCCCATCAGTGCACTAGAATGAGTGATATTCGAGCAGTACTGACAATACTGCTCGAATTTCCGGATTTATGAATGCCATGAATAAAGGTAAATGATCGTGAACAAAACAATATAAGAAAGCCATTTAACACTCATTCGAAAATTTCTGATAGTAATTGATTGAAGTTAATCATCTTGCAACTTGAAATCCATCATTCTATAAGTGAAATAGCTGGAAAAAAATCGGAGTGATTCAAATTCATTAACTGATCAAATTATGACAACAAAATGCATAAATTACAAAGAAAAAAATATGATGCTTAGAATATGCCTGACAGAGAAAAAAATCCAATAAAAAAATGCAGAACATAAAATACGAAATTGACCTATCGTATGGAGCAGTGATGTGCACACAACGTATAAAAAAATATAAAAAACAACAAAAATGTCAATACTTTCACTTCTTTAAGCACAATAAAAAATAAACACGTCCGATATGTATTATTGTTGCCATAAGAAGATCAAAATAAGCTGTCTTAGATTTCGTGAGATTCCAAAATATTCTCCAATACAAAACAATTACAGACCGTTCTCAATGTGTAATGAACAGCCCATTTTTACGAATTTTGCTAAGTTTGTCCATTGTACTACATTACCATTGAAATTAAGTCGGAAACAAATGATATCAACGATATCATGAGGTTAAACGATAAATACAATATACAGCAAAGGCAACTGCAACTGCTGCACACGTGCATCCAATACCAGTACGACCCACTGCCATACGATGCCATTTTTTATGAGCATCTTCACATTTTAAGAGGCGCGCACGCATCTCTTCTATACGTTTTTTCCTGAATCACTATAATAAATCAATCAAAATAAACGCGAACCGAGAAATCTACAAACGTGAAAAGGACTTTTCCTTTCGATTTTTTCATTTTTTCTTCCCTGATACGCAAGGGACATACTTCTCAATGATTTCAATAAGTTTTCAATTTTCTAAAGACATGTAGTAGCTTTATTACTTTGTATAATAGTCATACTTCCTTGAGAATTTGAAGTCTAAGCTTTCACTGCACTACATCAACCAAAAAAATAAGAATTCAGAATACCTTTTCGACTGTTTTGTTTCCTTATCAGTTTCGCAATAGTCCGTGGAAGCTCTTTTTCGAAGAGATGAAAAATCACTACAAGATTTGGAGTGTAAATCAGTAGTCATCTGGTTTGCCTGAGACCTTTCCAAATGTGGCATTTCATCTACTTCGCCATTAATGTGATTGTTGGGTACGGCCAAAAGATCTCTCCCAAATTTACCATTAACAAAATTTTCCTCGTTTTTAGTAATAACTCCCTGTCGTAATGCATCAGCGATGGTCTTCCAGCAAAACTGTAACTGTTGTGGAGTTTGAATCAATCCCATCCTTGACCTTCTCATTTCTACAACCAAACTTGTAACGTCTATCTCCTTTACATTTTGTTCAACCTGCAAATTGTTACTAGCTAAAATTTGTGTATGGAGAAGAGAAATTTTGAATTATCAAAAAGAAAAAAAAAAAAAGGAAGATGAGGGAATAAAAAGATACATAAAGGAGCAAACCAACAAATTAAAAAATAAGTAAACAGATAAGTAAAAGGACGGAAAAAAATGCCAGTAAAACTTTGGAATTCAATTTTATCAATTTTTTTATTCAATTTATTATCTTGTCAATGGAATACCATTGACAAGACTGAGTCTGCTACCACAAACGTTCCACTACGACCAATACCAGCTGAACAATGCACTACAGTAGGTTCCTTGCCGCATAAAAGTCCAGTGCCACGTACTTTTTGCAAGAATCCAATAAACACAGCAGTTGAATGAGGGACACCTAAACAACAACTTAAGTAGTGTACCAAAGAAAGGATTAATGACTCAATTAATTTACCTTTCTGAAAGAAAAGAAAAAATCAACGAATTACCAAAATCTGGCCAACTTGTGAAATGAAAATGTTTGACTATGCGTGAAGGTGGTCTATTAGGATCATCTTTTTCCGATAAAACATCTCCATTTTTCTTCAAGAGCTCCAAATCTCGAATCACATAGTCACCAAAATCTTGTTCGTCTTTCAGAATCACATTAAAAGAATCGAACTTGCGTGTGGGACTGTCCAAAGATGGAAAATAATCATGACATCTAAAAGTATTCGTAACTTCCAAAAATGTAGATAAAACAACTCCGGAAGGTCTTCGGAAAATTACCTCAACTTTTGGGACCAAAGATTTAAAGAAAATACAACGTACTTCGGTAATCCTTTCTCTACCAGCTTGTTTAACATAATTATAAGAGTACTATTCTGCTCCCATACCATCTGCCAAAAATCGTTACTAGTCGTTGAAAGTGGTCCCTGAAACAATAAAGGTATTGCTTGAAATAAGTATTCCCACTATGAAACTGCAAGTTCTATAAATTCACAATAACCTGTGTTAAAATATAATTACGTTTGGCAGTTGGAACGATTAGTGGCGAAGCATTAATATAATCAGATCGCTCAGTATTTTCCCGCTTTAATACAACACGACTTGTATCATCTGGAAATTAAAATTACGAAAGGGATACAGTTATAATATAATAAGAGAACTGCATTCGTGATATGAATTCTTTATGTATGATACACAAACGACACTTCATAATCCACAACATCACTACTGGTCGACAACTTTAATGGTTCAAAAAATTTTCAAAGTCTAGGAGAAAGCATCCTAAAACATTAAGTCACTCAAGCATAACTTTGGAAGAGAACAAGAGGTAAACTAACATGCTAAGACGTTCCGATAACGGTTCCTTTCCGCATTCTCCCATGAATGCGCAATTTTTGTTGTCAGTTTCAATTTCCTCTCTTGTTTGCAAGATTGCTTATCTATTTCCTAAAACTTATTAATAAATACTACAAGGAGTTGATTCTAAATGGATCATTAAATACAGGTTATGTGAGAGAGGAATAAAATACGATACTTGATAAACAGAATTCCATGAATGGTTATCTTCGATTTCATTATACATTTCCAGAAGCTGTTCCATTGCCATTTATCGACCCCACCTTAACTATAACGCTTAGACATCATTCAGTATATATCCACGCATAGTCAAAATAAGGACACTAACATGAAATTAATTTATGATTAAGCTACTGCTGACTATGAATTCTCAAAACGCGCATCCTATTTCAGCAGTCAAAATCGTAAAAATGATGTATAAAATTTTCCTCTTGATTAATTGGGATTTTGAGGAAGAGAATTTGAAAAAATGAATTGATGGAAGTATCATAAATAACATAAATAGAAATGTATATGCGTAAATTATTGGACAGCTTTAATGGTATTAACAGCAAAAAAGTCGATTTTAGCTATGCCTGCTATTTGGCTGGAAGTGGAAGTTGTGAAATATTCAGTTGCTGGATTTAAACTTAAAAAGTCTTATATTTGCCAAAAAATCAGATAATTAGAAGTGTACAGTATATAATGACATATGAATACAATTTCTGCTGGCTGGCGTATATGCAGAACAGGTCACACACCTGTAGTCAAGCTTCAGTAATTCTTCATAGAGCCGTATCTCAGACCAGGTGCACTTGCACTGCGAAGTAATGAAGTACTATACAAACCCAACTGCACCTTACTCCAACCCAATTTAGCAATATCACCCAGACATCGACACGGAAACACACTCCAACAAATTTCTGATTGTCCCGCAATAAACCCGTCTCTCTGCCACAAGTATTTCGCGGCTAGCACTTGCTTGCACGCGAATGCATGTCTGCGTGAAATCATCAATGAGAAATGTCAGGGTTTGAATTGAAACGTGTGGAAGTAAAGTTTTACGTGGAATTAGTTCTCAAATATTTCTTATTCTCGAAGTGGCGGCTGTCAGTGATATCAGGGAAGCATTTCAGTTGTCGTGCAACGTTTATATTTTAATGGGAGATGTATCATATTTTAAGGAAATGTATCAGTGGAAATATATTTTAACTAAGTATTACAGAGATATATAAGAAATGGGGAAGAAATCGGAAGACGAGCTTAGTGAAACTTTCGATCGATGTCTGGCAGATACAGCAGTGAAGATTGTAAGTGCTGGGAGTGTTGGTTTAATAGCTGCTGCAATATTTAAAAGGCAGTTTCCACTTTGGTTAGGTATTGGCATGGGTTTCGGTATGGGTATTGCTAACTGCCGTCACGATATGAGAAAGTCATTCGGGCACTCTGAACAAGATTCGGAACAGAAATCGAGTCTTAGAATAATCGAAGAATCTGGAAATGTCGAAATTCAGCCTCAATAACTACTGTTCCCGAGATTTCGTTCTGTTAGTGTCGTTTGCTGTGATTACCGAATTGAGAGTTGTATTAATATAAACATTATGGAATTTTTTTTTTTTTTTTAATAGTCTAGGAGAAAGGATTTATCAGACTTAAAGACGACTCATTATTTTCACATGTCTTATTGCTATTGATAGGTATTAGTTACTTTCTAAATTGGAAATCCTTCGTTCGCTACATACTTTCTAGTTGATTTGCATTGTTTTTGATGTAAAGTTCAATAAAATCTTTAAAAAATTTGTTGCAAGAGATGTGTCATTGATACCAACAACGCTTTTTCTTGAAAGCTGTGCTTATACTTTAAAGATTTCGCTGTCCTTTGATACGAAAGTTGTGGATGATCATTTGTTCAACCGCTTAAACCTTTATTCTTTTTCCAGCTACTTCATAACTGGAAATGATTAAATTGGGTCATCTGAATGTTAAATACTAAGTTTTGACGTCAGTGCGTTGTGAGATTTGTGATGACAGCTCTTTTCTATAACATAAACTTGATGTTTTCAGGTTGATTCTTAGATTTGCTCCTGGAAGCTTGCTTAGCATTGCTTTCATGGATGAGAAACGGGTCGATTGCCTTGATTTGTTAACATTTCAGGTAGGTTTTAGCACTATTATTTTAATCAAAGAACCGCTTTACGTTTGTGATTTTTCGTGTGCTGACAAAAAAGCACGTGCGAAGTAAATACTGTTGGTGGTTTGAATTATTGAATTATAGTGTAATGAAAAATGATCAAGGAAACAACTTATGAGAGATTAAAATTGAGGCATAGTACAGTTCCCTCGCAAATTTTTTTAGAATTACGAGCTGATCTACAGCTACAATCGATTATGTTTCAGGATATGTTGGATAAATTGCGAAAGATCGATGATAAAATATTGTTTGAACTAAACACTGCTCTGCCTAGCGAATCATTTTCTTCCAATATGGACAAAGGCGAAAAATGTCGTTCCATTTATAAGGAGGTGACATATGTCTTAACAGCAGATCTGTATGCTCAAAAAAGTATTTTATATTCTTTATATAGTATGGTAATTTGAGAAGGCTTCATCCAAAAAAAACCTGCTTGCTGATGGTCTCTTTTATTCCTAAATATATTTATTATGTCATCCTAAAATTTCTCTCTCTTTACCTCATTAGTAAAGTTACAAGAAGTACATTTCCAGTTATTAACTATGAGAGTTAAAAGGATGAATTTGATACAACACTGTGTTGATGAAAATCAAACAAACATTTCCCGTTTGCGAAAGGAAAAATCCCCAATAGCAGATATTCGTAGTGCTCAAAATACTGTTAGTTTTCTGTTTGCTTTATCTTCTCTTTACTGAAATTTACATGAAAATCATTACCGATTTTCTTCCACTGTCATGGGATAACTATAACAGTATGATGCTATGCTTGTTAAGCTCAGTTTTTGTAGCTGCGAGTAATCCGATCAGAAATGGATGTAGAAAGCATTGTCAATGACCGGAGTGAAAAAGCTGTGCACGATCGTTGTAGGACCTTCCTATGAGTTTTACTTTTTATTAGTTTTTTTCTTACTTTGGAATCATTGCCATATGTTGCGGCGTATTATATTTCCAGTTTGTTTACATATGCTCACTAAAAATTAAATATTTTATAAATTAGATTTATCAAAGGAGAATTATGAACCGTTAAGATATACATATAAATCACCGATGTAAGCCTAATTTCACTGTTCTACTGCCATCATCCACTTACATATCTGCATGAAATGTATAAAAAAGTGCAAGAAAAGGCAAATATTTACCCATTAGTTATTGCTGTCAAAGATCCATGAGGAAATTCGGGGTAATTCATAAATGTAAAGTTGTAATCTCTCATTACATCTAAAACTTGCAAATCATTGATAACTACTCAAAGAAGGAAGTGAAGGAAGTGCAAAACTTGCTTCCAGCTGTCGTTGATGATCTGCGATAAACTGCAACTTTTGTGCTAATAACGAAGAACGCATTTCAGCAGTTTTTACAAGCGATCCAGCACTTTTTAAATCGCAAGATACATAAATAATTTGCAAGGTAAGACTGTGTGCGGCTGCATCAGCTTTCATTGCACTTTGTTCCCAATCTTCTGTCGGCCACCGACGAGTGGATGTTTGTGCATCTGCTCTGCAATTTTAAAATACAAAATTACCCGTAGTATGTGATTCATCTATAAAGTTGAAGCTGTGTTGCGCATCTAACGGTTCGATTTTTATGCTTGTTTTTAGTAACGTATATGCTTATTACTATGATTTATGGCATGCTACTCTATTTTGGATATAGTACTCATCGGTTCACGCAATGTTACTAATAAAGCTGTTCAATATAAAAAAAAAAAAAGGAATGATAACTTTATAACCTGATTAATGGAAACACTCCGATCAAGATATATTTTGCCAAAAAAAAAAAAGACCTTAGAAATCGCCGATGCTGTTCTTCAGAAAAAACCACGGGACCAATTGCATCCTCTTCTTTCATTTCAACTTTTGGACGCCTGCCTCTCAAGACTGGCTGGGATGTATCATGCATTTTCATTTTATTCTTCACATCACCATTATTACCAGATGCAGCAGAATCTGCTGAACTGGCCAAATACATTCCTGCAGTATTACTGCTTGGAGCAATACGAGCTCCAGCTGAAGTCATTTTTGTTAAAAATATATACTAATTAATATTTTTGTTAATTCAACATAAGTCGTAAGAAAAAAAAAAAAAACTGGCATTCAATGTTTTTCTAACTATTCAAACTGAACTGTTCTAGGTCTGAACTTTCTTATATTTCAACTAGTTACGATCCTGGCCATCAGTATGATGGTGAAACAAGTTTAGTAGCTAGTCTTTTTTTTTTTTTTTTTCTGAGCAGTTAACTCGAATTAGCTCAAGAACAGGTAAGTATGACTACATAAATATTTTAACATAATTAAAGCAGTCGATTAATAATGCTTTAACACTGCTTTTCGACTTATCCTCTCACAGAAAATGAAATGTTAAGTAACTGAACACAAAAAAGGCTAAATTTAACCTAAAATTGAAATTAGAGATAAAATAGCTAGTTATTTAATATATAATTCAAGGGATGGAAACATAACATCAGTTCCACAACTTACTGCGCCATAGAAAATTGCTGCTAAGCTGAACACTACTGCTGATCAATCACAGATAAATTTTACAAAAGCAATTATACGAGCCAAAACCTTAGTAGTAGGGATTATTAAGTACGAGTTACAGCCTTTCTTTAAAGATTGATAAATACGACTAAGAGGCATACAACTAGATATAATTTATGGTAGTCGATACAACAAATTTTTATAATTCTCATCGCAGGTGAGAGTATAATTTTCTTTCCAAAGCTAAAAATGGATTTTCGATAACACGACATTTCGGTCGCCTGATATGCGAAAATCCAGTAAGTAAATCTATTATTTCGATAATTTCTGGCTATAGTCATATATATTTCTAGAAGAATAACACTAGTTAAACGAGGAATAAAAAACTCACAAGCAGATGAAATGGGACTTTGATTCGCAGCATTTTCAGACAAAAACTTTTCATAGTCTCGCCATTCAGGAGGTTTTTCCCATTGTGACACCTCAGTTTCTCGATTATAAAAGTAGCGCTTCCCCGCTGAACTATATTGCTCTGTCCACGGACCAAATTCTTTCAGCCGTGCATTCGATGACGTTGTCGATTGGCGATCCTCAATTACATACTCTTAAGTTTTTCAGTACAAATAATAACTACTGAATCTTAAATCTTAATGTAAAACTGATTGGTGGAATGCATAACATCCTCGCACCCTTACGAATGCTTCACTTCCCGACACAAGTCAATTCTAATTTTTGGTGACAAAGTTCAGACTCAAAATTTTGAATAAACCTCAAGCTAAATTATTGATTTCACACAAAGCACCAATGAAAGGCAAACAATTAAATCCTACCATCAATGGATATTGGATGACTTTCAGGCAAACATAGAGCACAGAGTGGAAATCACCCACTGAAAACGAAAAAGCCCCAGCCAGTCAGCATGCATATTGGACTACACAAGAAGCGGCAGTGAAAACGCTGATCCCAGAGGTGCGTTGCGTGGATGGCTTTTATGTCAATATTAGTGAAAGATAGGAATAATCTTCCAAAGTTTGAGCTAAAAATTAAATTACTGTTGTAGTATTGTAATAAACACAAATTAAAGTTTGCAGTTACTTTCATCGTCTTTTTTTGGTGGTAACTACTCACCTATTCTACCTGACATTCCCGGTGACCATTGTCCATTCCATCTTTTAATCGTTGTCAAATAGTTTTCAGTTTTTCCTGGTAGTCTTTCAGTCTTCAGATGATTACATTCCTTTCTGTTCAGGACATCGAAATTCAATTTCTGTATTCTAATATTTTGTAGTCATTCCCGCACGACTATGTAATTATCTGCAATCTGATTTCAGTAATGCTTGTAATTTCATTCTGGAAATTTCCATAACATTTCTTATTTACCCGCATTTTGCTTTTGGTTTATTGCTTTATTGCTATCAGCAAAATCCCAGTATGTAATCACTTTAATCTGACATCCGATAATTTTCAATATATAAAGGGGTAGATTCTATAATTGACAATCATAAATTTATGCTTGAAGGTCATAATTTGGAGTGAATGTTAATATCATTAATATTCACTGAAAATACTCAACAGAAGCAATGCAGACCAATAGATAAGTCATCGCTCAATTTAGTGCATGCTGGATTAAACATCAAGTAACCAAAGGAGACAATTGCACTTCGCTTCAGTCTAAAATCTCTTAAGCATGAAGTTTTATATTTCAGTTCTAGAATGTCATGATGCTGGTAACCTCATGAATTTGGCAATTTATACTACGAATGCTTACGTTTGGTTTATGTTTATCAATATTGGCCAGCAATATCGTATCATCGTTGCTAATATCTAATAAAGAATTTTTAAAGAAAACTACTTAAAAAGAACTGGTGACTTTGTAAACATATGGTGACAACAATGAAAATAACGATTATAAGTGATCTGCTCACACAACAATAATTAACAGTAATGATATTTAAGATGACAGTAACTAAATCGAATATGGATTGTCGATTATCGAATACGGATGGGTTCTTCTGTCAAAATGCATCAAATATTTGTAATGTCTTTATTGAAGGATTATTAGCAATTACTTGCTTCAAAATATCCATGAAATTTTCTCTCTTTTTTTTTTTTTTTTTTTTTAGTATAACAGCTTATTAAACAAGAACAAGTTATGTATACATCTATGGTTTACACACAATTATTATGTTTTTAGAACTAATTATTTAGTTGTAATTGTAGTCAATTTTCCATGCCAATGACTTTTGTTGTGTTTGTTAGTTTACTAGTAGAAATGGATTTGTAAGGAATGCTTGTTGAGGAATAAAACCAGTTCTCCAAGAGTAATGAATTTTATGCAGAAGAGCAGGTTTTTTTTTTTTTTTTTGTACTGAAATTTTTCGCATATTCTGAATTCTAAGTGTTATGGTACTAACATTATTTTCCCTTTGCACCTTTCTCAATGTCCTCTTGTTCGTTCTTTTATGAAGTTCATTTTCTGAACGGAATGGAAAAGATTTTTCAAGCCGGAAATTGATTGAGAGGCGTCACCGCAAAAACTGTTTTATTGATTTACTGACTTTCTTTAAATTTTGAAATTCCAAAAACAGTTTGAAGCTAGAGATTTTAAAACTGACTGATTTTCTAATCAGTCACATTATATGCATATTTATGTTCTTCAAAGTATGAATTCTTCTTTCTGCTCATCATCGACCATCTTGCAAAAGAGAAAACAATGATGGAAGAATCGCTTAGTTATTATTTTGATGTAAAAAATCAACTGTTCGTGATTTATTTTGAGTCACTAATTAAATATGTTTAAATTTAAACGAATTAAAATTTATGAATCTTGTTCTCTTTAGTTTGGAAAAGAAGAAAATGAATAAAGTAATTATTCATTTTCTTCTTTTGTAACAGTTCTGGTAACTCATAAAGAGAACAAAGAAGTTATTGAAATTCTTAAAACCATAGAATGTAAAAAAAATTATGCGCTTTTCCATACATATACATATATCCAAAAACAGCGCTAATTGAAAATGATATCAACGCGGAAAAGGATAGCTCCAGGAGAAATCATGAAAATTGTATTTTTTCTAAAATCTATAAAAATAAATAGAGTCTTTCAAAAAAAAAGTTTTGCTTTATGCTACTCATTTTCTTTCCTATCGCAAGAAGCATAAAATGGAAACAAAATGATGTACGACTTGATCAGCACAAATTAAATGAAAAAAACCAAAGAAAAAACAGCATAGCAATTATGTTTCAGTTTTTATTTTTAAGGCAGTGCACTCCTTTCTGTATTATTCATTTCAATTTGCTGAGAATTTAAACAGAAAATTTTATGATATAATTTGTACTTTTTCTATAAATGTAATTAGCTCAATCTAACGTCTTTTGTCAGGTCTCTCTTAAAATCTTTCCAATTT